TATAGTGGCACCTGAGATACAAGCCACTCATTTTGAACTCAAATAGTGATGTTTAATATGTTGAACTCTATCGACCAATTTGGTGGTACACCCAATGAAGACACTAGACAACATGTGCGTGCTTTCCTTGAAGTATGCGATTCATTTAGACAATAAGGAGTACATGAAGATGTGCTCCAACTGAAGCTTTTTCCTTACTCCTTACGTGATAGAGCAAGAGCTTGGTTCAGCGGAGTTCCTTCCGGATCAATAGAGTCATGGGCAGATTTATGCAAGAGTTTCTTACATTGATATAATCCGTCCAATATGAATACACAGCTTTGGAACGACATTGCGAGTTTTCGCCAAGGCGATGATGAATCAATGTACGAATGTTAGGATAGGTATAAAAGTTTACTTCGCAAATGTGTTAATCATGGATTTCATGATTGGACGCAAGTGGTGATGTTTTACAATGGAGTCAACGCACTAACTCGAATGATGTTAGATGCCTTAGCAAATGGTATCCTACTAGACAAATCACCCGAGGAAGCTTTTGACATCCTCGACAGGATAGCAAATAATGACTATCAATTTCCAAGTGCAAGATTGGGAATCGGCAGAAAAACCTCTGGAGCATATGAATTAGAAAGAAAAGATTTGGTAGCAGCCCAACTTTTTGCCATAACTAATATGTTAAAAAATTTGCAATGTCCTAATGAGGTAAGAGAAGTCAAGGCGACCAATAATGTGTGCCTATTATATCAAGGCAACCATCATGAGAGTGAATGTCTTGAAAATCATGAGTCAACTAATTTTATGGATAACTATAATCGGAACAACAATAATCCCTATTTGAACACGTACAACCCTGGTTGGAGACAACATCCAAATTTTTCGTGGAATAATCAAGGGAACAACAACAATCAAGCCACAAATTAAAGGCCACAACAAAATAATTCTGACCATCAACATATTCAAAATCAGCATCAGCAGCCTTGGCAGAACAACAAAGGTATAGCTTCTTTCTCTAACACTCATTCCAATACTAACTCCTTGGAATTATCCTTGCAAGAATTCATGGCCACGACAAAAGATTTCATGGCGTCTACAAAAACCTTGATGCACGAACATTCTGCAACAATCAAAAATCAAGGAAATTTGTTACAAAGTCAGGCAACACTTTTGCAAAGCCATAGTTCATCTCTCAAAGCATTAGAGAATCAAGTGTGACAGATTGCCATGGCATTACATTCTTGCCCAAACAGAAATCTCCCTAGTGATACTGAAGTCACTAAGCATCATGAGAAGGAGCAATGCAATGTACTTACGCTAAGGAGTGGAAAACAAGTTGATCAAGATGACAAGTTTGGTGGAGAACAGTTGAACAATTCTCACCAAGGCGTAACACAACCGGATGAGGAATATGAGAATACTAAACAAGAGAAAGCACATAAAGAGAAGGAAAGAAGTGAAGGCCCAGAAAAGCATCATCCGGATAACAAGAAATTCATGGTCAAGGCCAGTGATTTCCCTGCACCATCAGTAGTCGATGTGAGACCTCCACCACCGTTTCCTCAACGGTTGAAGAAACATGATGATGACATCCAGTTCAAGAAATTTGTTAATGTTCTGGACCCGTTCTGTATCAATATGCCCCTACTCGAAGCCATCGAGAAAATGCCTTCCTATGCCAAGTATCTGAAGGAAATTGTTACAAAGAAAAAGAACGTATAACGTGTCGCCACGGCAACAGAAATCTGCTCGGTAGTGAGCAAACTCCCACCAAAGAAAACAGACCCTGACAGCTTTGTAATACTATGTTCCATTGGTAATGATTTCATCGGACGAGCTATCATTGACTTGGGATCAAGTGTAAACTTGATACCAAAATCGATATCGATATTCATGAAACTAGACGGGTATAACGCCCATCCCACCTCGGTTATTCTACAGTTGGTTGATCGGTCTTATGTGCGACCCGAGGGAAAAATTGAAGACGTCATAGTAAAGGTAGATAAATTCGTATTTCCAGTGGATTTTCTCATTCTGGATTGCGAAGCTGATGAAAATGAACCAATCATTCTGGGACACCCATTCTTAGCTACAGGAAGAATCCTAATAGACTGTGAAAAGGGAGAATTCACCATGAGAGTTAGTGAGCAAAGTGTCACGATCAATGTATTCAACTCTATGAAATACGTAGACGATCCAGAGGAATGCCAATGCATTAATAAGATGGAAGAAAATGCAATCATGAGATGAGGTGAATCCCTAAGGCTCGATGAGTACATCAATTTGTACCATGAACCTACAACCGAAATACATGAAGCAGAAAACTTTGGCCCTGACGAAATATTTCATAAGACGGTTCTGACAATCATGGCCACAACAACGAAAATCTGCACACTGAACACCCTGAAAGCAATACCAATGCAAGATGCGAAGGAAAGCCAAATGACCAATTGAGATTTCTTCATAGGTCAGGTATGAAATTCGAACCTTTAGATTATGATGAAGTTAAATCTCAAGACTCATCTTCACAAAATGCACTGAAATTGGAGCTTAATACTTTACCATCACATTTGAAATATACTTATCTAGGAGTTGATGAAACTTTACCAGTGATAATCTCCGCCAACCTAACCTCCAAACATGAGAAGAGTTTGTTGAATGTTTTGTCATAGAATAGAAAAACTATAGGATGGAAGATGGAAGACTTGAAAGGAGTCAGTCCAACCATATGCATGCACAAAATCAATCTTGAAGATGGCCACAACACCTCGGTAGAACCCCAAAGACGGCTCAACCGAATCATAAAGAAGGTAGTCATGAAGGAAATAATAAAATGACTGGATGCGGGAGTGATTTATCCTATATCCGATAGTTCATGGGTTAGCCCAATCCAATGTGTGCCAAAGAAAGGTGGTGTAACCGTGGTTAAAAGCGAGCATGATGAGTTACTCACCACGAGAACAGTCACAGGCTGGCGCATATGCATGGATTATAGGAAGCTCAACAAAGCCACAAAGAATGATCATTTTCCCCTCCCTTTCATCGATCAAATGTTGGATAGATTAACGGGAAAGGCATTTTATTGCTTTCTCGATGGATACAAGGGGTATAACCAAATTGCCATAGCACCCAAAGACCAAGAGAAAACAACGTTCACATGCCCGTATGGTACCTATGCATTTAGACGAATACCGTTTGGACTATGTAACGCTTCAACTACATTCCAATGATGCATGATGGCAATATTTTCAGATATGGTGGAAGAGTGCATGGAAATATTTATGGACGACTTCTCTGTTTCAGGTGATGACTTTGACCGATGCCTCGGCAATTTATCAAAGGTGTTGAAACGTTGTGAAGAGGCCAACCTAGTACTGAATTGGGAAAAATGCCATTTTATGATAATTGAAGGAATAGTGTTGTGACACAAAATTTCATGCCATGGCATTGAAGTTGACAAAGCCAAGGTGGATACAATTACAAATCTTCCCCCACCTACTAATGGGCGAGGTGTACGCAGTTTCCTTGGACATGCAGGATTCTATAGGTGGTTCATAAAAGACTTTTCTCAAATATCTAAACCCTTATATCTTTTGCTTCAACTAAATCATCCATTTGAGTTTACTAATGATTATTTGAATGCCTTCATAGATTTGAAGAAAAAGCTTTCAGCAACACCAATAGTTATCCCACCAGACTGGAAAGAGCCATTTGAGCTTATGTGCAATGCTAGTGACTATGCAGTCGGAGCAGTGCTAGGGCAACAAAAAAGTAAAATTTTTCATGTTATCTACTATGCAAGACGAACACTTAATGATGTTCAAGTGAACTATACCACCACTGAAAAGGAACTCTTAGCAGTAGTATTTGCATTCGATAAGTTTAGGCCATATCTAATAGGCACTAAGGCAATTGTGCACACATATCACTCAGCTATTAAATATCTGATTAATAAAAAAATGCAAAACCTAGACTAATTCGGTGCATATTATTACTGCAAGAATTTGATTTGGAGATCAATGATAGAAAATGTATAGAAAATCAAGTGGTGGACCATTTGTCAAGGCTATATAACAAACCTGATTGTCCTGACATCACAGATATTAAAGAGGATTTCCCTGATGAGAAAATATTATTTGTCACGGCTGCACCGTGGTATGTTGACATCGTTAATTTTCTTGTTAGTGGTATTGTTCCTCTTGATTTATCTAGCCAGGGAAAACGAAAATTTCGACATGATGTACGACATTACTACTGGGACGAACCATTTCTATTCAAGCAGTGCGGAGACCAAATAATCCGAAGGTGCATTCCAGAAGAAGAGCAGCAAGATATCCTACTCCAATACCACTCGTCACCATATGGAGGACATTTTGGTGGGATGAGAATAGTAACAAAAGTGCTTCAGTCGGGATTTTATTGGCCAACCTTGTTCAAAGACACGCATGAATTCTACAAGTCATGTGATAGATGTCAACGTACAGGATACATCTCGAAACGGCATGAGATACCATGGCAAAACATTCTGGAGATCGAACTTTTCGACGTATGGGCCATAGATTTCATGGGACCTTTTCCAACATCATTCGGAGATATGTATATTCTATTGCCAGTGGATTACGTATCAAAATGGGTTGAAGCCATTGCAGCACCTAAGAACGATTCCAAGACGGTGTTAAAGTTTTTGCACAAAAATATATTCACCCGCTTTGGAACACCACGAGCTCTCATTAGCGATGAAGGGACACATTTTGATAATAAATTGATTGCAAAGGCACTGAAAAGATATGGAGTATGACATAGAATTGCTATGGCGTATCACCCTCAGACGAATGGACAAGCCGATGTATCTAATCGAGAAATCAAATAGATCCTCAAAAAAGTGGTCAACCCAAGTCGAAAAGATTGGTCGCCGAAGCTAGATAAAGTATTATGGGCTTATCTCACAGCATTCAAGACACCGCTGGGAATGTCCCCGTTCAAGCTAGTCCATGGAAAGGAATGTCATCTTCCGGTTGAACTCGAACACAAAGCTTATTGGGCTATAAAAAAGATAAACATGGATGCTCGGCTTGCTGGAGAAAGAAGACTATTGGAACTGAACGAGATGGATGAATTTATAGCACATGCATACGAGAATGCCCGCCTTTACAAGGAGAAAACAAAACGATGGCAAGACAGAAAAATATTGCCGAGGTATTTTTATTCTAGACAACAAGTACTGCTCTACAATTCACGCCTTAAGTTATTCCCAGGCAAGCTAAAATCACGATGGTCATGACCATTCATCGTACACCAAGTCCATGACAATGGAACAATTGAAATTCTAAACCAAAACGATGGTTCCATCTTCAAAGTGAACGGGAAAAGACTCAAGCAGTACAAAGGAGCCGAGGGAGAAGAGCAGTTTGGCCCTGAGGTGATGGACGTCATAAAGAAGCATAACTGGGAAAAGTTTACTTGTAATCCTAACGTCGTAGCACCAGTAATGGTGAGGGATTTCTATGCCCACCTCGCGGACACCTCCAACCACACGGTATATGTTCGAGGAAAAATCATTCGCTTTTCCCCTTCTGCACAAATACTTTAAGTTGGGGAAAGTGGATGACCAGTATAAGAGATTTGTGGCTGAGGCAGATCAAGAAACGTACAGTGAAGTTCTACAGGATTTATGTTTTTGGTGGGCCAAGTTCGAAGGGAATGCCCCCACAAGAAAGCGAGTAGATCGTCGAGCCCTAAAACCAGACATGAAACTATGGAACCATTTTCTTAAAGGTAAGTTGATGCCAACGTCCCACAACACCACTGTCCTCATCAAGCGGCTGATGCTGTTGCACTCAATCATATACGGTAGGACGATCGATGTGGGTGAAATCATCTTTAAGCAGATCCATGACTGTGCCAAGAAGAACCGTGGTAACGTACTGTTCCCAAACCTTATAACCACGTTGTACAGAAAGAAAAAGGTTCCTGAGGAACCATTCGAAGACTTCATCGAACCCAAGGAGGGTATTACAAAGAGAAAGGTCCCCGAGTTGATGAGTTTCAATGATGACGACCCAAAGGAGGGTCTGGAGTGAGGAGCAAAATCGGTTGCTGCGGCTAGAATGACTGTTGTTGTCACGCACACGCGTGAGACGCATGAAAAGATCGGGCGCCTAGAGGACCACATAAAAATTTACTTTAAATACGCCAAGGCAATGGACATGCAACACAACGCCTTCATCAAGGAGTTACTCCCAACCACAATGATCAGACTACCAACCTTCCCCAGTGTCATCCTTAACTACATTCCATGCCTCGACATCTTATGCCCCTCCAGACATTCCACCATAGGTGCCCACCGATATGCCACCATTGGCAACCCATGTCCCACCCGTACCAGAAGAAAACCATGGCGACACCAAGGAGTTCCTCAGTTTCTCATCCTTCTCCACCACCGAAAGCAACAGTGATATTCCACCCCACTTCTTCACTGATGAAGATTTCACGCCAGCACCAAAGCAACCTGAGCAGGATCCTATTTCATCCCCAGTTCGATCAACACCACTAGCCCCAACAGCAGCTCCTAGTCCACCACCAGTTCTAGTACATCTGACTTCCGTAACCGAGCAGTCTACTCCAGCCCGAGCTTCGACCAACAAGAAGCGATACAAGAGAACGGCGGGGCGTATATTTCAACCGTCTCCTTCTCATCCAGAAGCAGTAGACTCGGGATCCGAGAGCCCTTCCCCTCCCAAACAACGCCGCACGAGGGCGTCCAGTCAAGCCACACCACCACAGTAAGTTTTTGTAGTTTTTCATTTTTTTCGCATTTGCATATAACAACATTTAGTGTAGTTTTCATGCATTGAGGATAATATATCCCTCAAGTTTGGGGGAGGTGTTGTCCATTCTACTATACTTTTTTAAATAGTAATTGATGTTAATTAGTTGAAAATTTTGGTTGTCATGACATAAGCAGGTTAGGATTATTGTTAGGAATGAATTAGGGATGCCTAATGATGAATGTAAAATTTTATTACCTAGGCCAGAATTATTGTAAAGACTGTCTGAAGAAGAGAACCAACCCTAGGCTTGATCCTTTAAAACTTATAAACACGATTGTAGGTTATCTTTGCTCTAGGTAATCTGTAAAAATTTTAGGAAATAACTTTCTAATTGTCGAGACTTCAAAAATATTCTAAGGCTAAGGTAAAAACTCTCTAGTTTTTAAAAACTTGAAAACTCGAAAAATACAAAGGGACACTCCTCTGTGCAAAGGCATGAATAATAAAAACTCCAAAAGAAATTAAGAGTAGCCAAGGTATATGAGTGAATGCAAGTAGTCACAGGATGACTCTGTCCGACTAGCTTGGGGGGTGGAATGTATGCTCCCTTTCACCTAGAGTGTGGAACGGTAGTTGTGATGAGCTGACTCCCCTATATAAAAAAAGTGTGAATAAAGGGAATAAAAGTTGATAAATAACTAAGAGTATAAACTAAGTCTGATGAATAATTTGTTTCCTTGACAACCTAGAAGTGCTTACTTTAAGTTTTCTAATTACCTCTACGCATAGACTGGTTACAATCACACACACACAATAGCAAAGGATCTTGACTAGGGAAGGGACTTGACTAATATGACTGTTGAACATGTTGAGGCCACATATTTTTACTGAGGGCTTAAATCTCAAACCTGATGATGTTCTTGATACTGCTTTGCCCTGACAATTTTGATTTTCTTCTAGCTATTATCCATTGCTTGAGGACAAGCAATAGCTTAAGTTTGGGGGTGTGATAACCCCGTAAAAAGACTTAAATTATAGTCTTTTCACTTAAGTTATTGCTCGTCTAAACAAAGTATGCACTACATTTTTAGTTCCATTTAGTTACATATAGGTTGTGGTGGATAAGTTTTGCCAAGGAAAGATTTATTTGGCTTAACTGATGCTGATTAGGAGAAGGGGTTGTTTGAGTTGTGTTTGTGCAGGAATTCTACAGAGGAAGAACATTTCAGTCGTGACAATGAAAAGTTGCAAAGGCCAATGGAGCAGATGAGAACATAAGGAGCAGATTTATCTCGTCGAGGCAAGATTTATCTGAAGAAGTCTGAAGCAAATGTGGCGAAACCGCCTAGGTCACATGCCAGCCGGATGACCTGCTTCACGTGCAAGCAAGCCTTGAATATCCTGACAACCGCCAGCTGCCTTTCCTTTTTAAGTTTGGGAAATTAATAACGGCTAATTTAGAAAACTCCATAAGCATGCAAAGCCCTAGGAAATTCTCCTTATAATTACCAACCGTAGCCACAAAAAGAAAAGGGAAAGAAAAAAAATAAGAGCTTTACCTTAGGCGTGAGCAAGCAACTGCAGTGCTTTCCCTCTGTCTACCCCCCAATCTTCCTTGGGGTCCTCCATAGCCAGACGATAGAAGAGCGGTGATCAGGCCATGAGAGAGGGTGATCACCAAGGCAGGCGTGGTACTGATCAGGATTGTCGCGATAGAGCCCCCAGTTTTGGGAGTCGTTCTTCCTGTTTTTTAAACTGTTATTTTATTTGGGGTTGTATTAAACAGTTTAAACTTGGATGATCTTTGATAACACCATGAACGCTTTACTTGGTGTTAAACTTTGTTTTGCCTGAACAATATTTTATGTTTATTAATGATGAATTATGTTTGCTTATGACTGTTTTGCTCATAGTTTAAATATTTTTCCTTAACACTGTAAGAGCATTGAGAGATCGCTTGGGGTTTCAGTAAAACATGTTTGGGCATTGTAAGAGCATCGAGAGATAACCTTTTGTCTATAAAGTGATTCTTGAATTCGAGAGAATTAAGAGAGATCAACATGAGAAAAGGAATGAATCTGGGATGGTGAAGTTCTAACTTGTCTACCTTAGAGATAAGGAGTGAGTTTCAAACGACTAAAAGGGATAAAACCTAAAGTAGGTTAAGATAACATCTATAGTTAACGCCGAGAGGTATTTCCATAGAAACCGTCTAAGAATACCTAGTAATCCTGTCGGGCAGTTTAATGAGTCATAATAATTCATTCTGGGCTTAAAATAATTGTTGTCGAGACAATGGTTTAGCATCAGTGCTCTGTGACACGTCTGAATATATGAGGTTGTTTGCATTATATTTAATCTAATACTTGTTTTATTTTGTTTTATCTGTCTGCATACTTTCATTGTCTCGACCACACTTTTCTGAAATCATTGAATCATTATTCTTAGCTCCTTAATATTAGTTCTTAGCTTTAATACTTAGTAGGATTAATTTGTGGCATTAATTCTAGTTGTGGTGAAAAGATATTTATAATCCAATCCCTGTGGAGACGATACTCACTCACTATTATATTACTTGCATCGATTGTGTATACTTGCACAGATTAGCTTGCTTTAGCATATACATTCACAAGCGATTAGAGCACCAGGTAAAACACTAAACTCTTCTTTTATTTCACACCTCAAAAGAAAACCCACTGTTTGCTAAAAACTTAAGTTTTGAAAGTTTAATTATTTTTCAATTCTAATTTTTAATATCTCAAACCCTCACCTATGCTCACGACTGACACTGTTGTGCCATAAAACTACGACTAGACAGGCCACACATGAAACAAAATTTGATCGAGACTAGCAGCATAACAGATAAATTGAGACTAGCTTAATATTTCTACTTATTTTGAAAGAAAAACGATAAACATGCTCTTGGTATTTCTTTGAAAGAGAAAAAGAAGCCCCAATTTTTACATTAACTTTCGAATTAGAGGATGAAAAACCTTTATTATACACTGTTTCGAATAACAGAACTCTCTACACCCCATTTTCCCTGCTGATGAAATTCCCCTGGTTCGAATGGTCCCCTCCCTTATTTCTCTTCTAATTTTTTATCTTTTTTGTTTTTGTTGGTTTCTGGTTTTCTTGCTGAAAGAGACCCCCTAACTATTTGTTGATGATTTCCCCCCTTTCGAATGGTTGCTGATCACCCCTTTTATTATTGAAATACCCTTGTTTTAATCCTCTGTTTGCTAATTTCCTTGTGTTTGGTAGGATAATGACAAGTTTAGGTGAAATCATCCCTTAATTTCTGGGGTTATGTATTTGG